CCTAAAGATGAGCTTGCTGCTACGCAGTACCAGTGTGTCCGTTCATTGTTCCTTCTCTACGAAGAGCTCAATGATTGGAAGGCGGGAGAGTCGGAGATCAAAGTTGCGAGGTTGGCAGTGCAGCACGTTGTCCTCTACGGCGAAATGTTTAGGAGTGCGGCAACGCTAGACCCATACACCAAGTTTTGGAAAATGATTCCAAAGCATCACATGTTTGTTCATTTATGCGAATGGCAGGTGGCGGAAAAGGGTAATCCACGCGAGGTGTGGAACTACACAGACGAGTCTGTGATTGGGGAGTGCGTGAAGATGAGCGCGGCGTGCCACTGCCGCACTATCTGCCGCGAGGTACTGCGCAAGAAGCGCGTGACGAGCTTTGACCAGTAAAAATAATGCCCTCCTCTCCCCCCTCCCTCCAAGCAATTCTTTGAGCTAATGGCCGATGCAAGGGCGACAGAAGCAGGCGACCAACCGGAGCACGACAGAAAAATGACAGAAAACACAACACGCGACAGAAAAATGACAGAACAACGACAGAAAAAATGACAGACGACAGAAACATGACAGAAACCATAAAAAACTACAGAAAAACTACACACGTAAAATGAACAACAGAACACACTACAGCAAAACCACAACACCACCACCACCACCACCACCACCAACAACAACAACAACAACAAAACGACATACCCCCACCAAACAACAGAAACATTCAACAAAACGGAGTATCCCAAGATGCATCAGGGATGCTGCTATACACCCCCCCGCCCCATATGTCCCCTCCTCATAAGTTCACGCAAGCATCCTTGTCACAGTTGGACGCGCGCCCTTGAAACACAAGCACCCTATGGGCCTGACCCTGTGCACCGCTCAGAAATTCAAGAATTCAGGCAGAGCTCCAGTGCCGAGACGCCGCTGCCGTCCTTCCCCCTCGGCGGAGGAGGAGGAGCAACGGAAGTGGCTTAAGATGATGCGTGCGTGTGTGCGTGTGTGTTTGTGCGTGGGTGCGTGCGCGTGTTCAAGACGGAGGGGGAGTATCAGCGGAGGACCCCCCCCCCTTCCCTCTTCCTCCTCTTCCTCCTCCTCCTCCTCCTCCTGCTCCTCGCTCCCCTAACCTCGACGCCTTCACCCTCGCCCTCCCAGTCGGCACGGGAGTCGGCAGGAGTCGGCGTGGGAGTCGGCTGGATCGAGTCGGCTGGGGGTCGGCGCGGGAGTCGGCGCCTGCGAGCCGACCACTTCGGCCATGCACCCAGGTGCGGTGCAAGACCGCTTCGCCCCCTCGCTCTGTTATATATATATATATATATATATATATATTCATAGATATACATATATATATATATATATATATATATGTGTATGTATGCTTACATATACATGTATATAGTCATACCTATGTATATGAATACACATATATTTAGTTATGTGTATATATACTTATACATATATTTATATACATATATATACATATATAGATGTTCCAATGTATATATTTAGGTTTGTATATATGTATATGTGTAAATATGATTACTGAAATGTTTAATTATATATGTGCATATACTCATATATACATGTGTGTACTCACAAGCATATCTGCATACATACATACATACATACATACATACATACATACATATATACGTACATACATACATACATACATACATACATGCATGCATGCATACATACATACATACATACATATTTACATACTTACATATACGTATACATACACACATTTAGGCACATGACATATTTTAGCGCCACCGTTAAAATTTTATCGGCGGTTAAAATCCGAGGCCGCGCGCGCATTTCAGCTGCGAGGTTAATTTTCTAGCTAAGCGGGCGCTCTGGGGAGGCGGGGGGCGGGCGAGTGGGCAGGCGCCGGCGCCAGCTGCGTGGCGCTCGCGGCGTCCCTGAGCCAGCTTGCCCCTGGGCTGGTCTCCCCCGCACGGGCCGCCGGGGCGCCCCGCGTCGGCTCGCCCCCGGAGAGCGCCCGCGAGACCGGCGGGGCCGAGGCGGACGGCTTCGAGCCTGCTGCAGCGGCCACGCGCCAGGGCCGGAAGCGCCAGGCCCGGGCGGCGAAGGCGGCAGCTGGCGCCGACGCGGCGGGTTCCGCCGAGGCGGCGCCCCAGGGCACGCAGGAGCTGCCGGACTGCCTTGCGCAATGTTTGCCCTCGGCGGCTGGGGCGCGGCGCGGGCGGTCGCCCAGCGGCTGGGCGTCCCCACGCAGGAGCGCCCCAGTGCCGTCCGCCGCGAGCTGCTGGCTGAGCTGGACGCGCTCAGCGACGCCGCCTTCCGGCGGGTCGTGGCCCGGTTGGCCGCGGCCGAGGCGGCCCGGCTGGACCTGGACGCCTAGGCGGCCGCGGGCGCCTCCGGAGGCGGCCCGCGGGTCGGCCGCGCAGCGACGGGGAGGCCCGCCGCGCGGCGGTGGCGCGCGCTCTGCCAGCCGGGGCGCGCTGAGGCGAAGGCGCTAGCCCAGCCGCGCCCGCCTTGCTTTGCTGGTGTTCCTGCTGCTGCTTCTCTGCCCCGCTTCCCTCTCCTCTTTGCTCGCTTCCTCCCCCTTTAACCACAAGGAGATTTCTCTCGGCTGGTTAAAAATCGTGTCCGCTTGCGAGCCCTGCCGCTGCGGCCAAGGGACGCATGGGCATCTCGGCGGCGAGCGAGGGGGAAGTGTGGAGGAGAAAGCCTTCTCAAAGGTGGCGGGGTTTCTCATAAGGCCTCCGGCCTTCTGAGAGGCTTTTTGTGTCTTCGGGGAAGGCTTCGAAAACTTCTCAGCAGGCTGGGGGACTTCTGCGCCTTCTGAGGAGGCCCCCCCTTCTCACTTCAACCTCAGGCTCCCCGCCGAGTATCGGACATCCTCGCAGGGGTGCCGCTTGGCCGCAGATATCCTTCAAATCCTGACCCCCCACCAGGAGTCTCAGAAAGCGGACCTGCAGCAGGAGTACAGTCGGACCTGGGACAAACGAAGAACACCCTTCAAGAACATGAGGCCCTCCGCCACCCAGGACACACAGATCCTCCGAGGGCACTCTCCACAGGATGCAAAAAAAACATCCAACAGAAGGCATAAACATAAGCTTGTGGCGTTCCGTGCGGATTTCTTGGATCTGTGCTGGACCCCCCTCCCTGGCGCGCGGAACGCGCCAGGGGCGGCGCCGGAGGCGCCGCCATGGGGGCCCAACGCAGATCCCAAAAATTCGCGCGGAGCGCTGAAGTGTATGTTCATGGCCCGCCTTCTTCTCCGAAAAATGAGGGTGCCCTCCCCGAACCGAGCTCGATCTCATACCTCGGTCCGACTGTAGCGCTCACATGCGGCTTGCGACCCAGGCCACCTGACTTCGTGCACCGCGCCGCGCGGTGCGCGACGCGCGGCCATCCTCCGGTGCTGCCAGAAGCCTGGGTGCTGGCAGAAGGGCCCCTGGCCCAGGGTGCCCCCAGGATGCTTCCAAAAGGAGGCCCCCACGGCCTCTAATGCACCCCTCGCGAGGACCGGAGGGCCTCCGAGGGGCTCCAAGATGAGCTGGGGGAACCTTCAGCAACCGCCGAGGCCCTTCCCCACCTCGCTCGCCACCGACTTCACTATGGCGGCGGGCACCTAGAGACCTCCTAGATGGGGTCCGAGTCGATGGGGTCGAAGGATCGAGCCGCATCGGCGTTACATCGGCGATACATCGCCGATGCATGGGCGATGCATCGGCGACGTCGGCGATGTATCGGCGACGCCAACGTGGGAAAAATCGGAACCTACGTCGAGTCGCATCGCCGATGCATCGCCGATGCGGCACGATCCTCCAACCCCACCTGCTCCGACCCCATCTACTTCGACCCCATCTACTCCGACCCCATTTGGGAGGCCTAGAACCTGGACCAGACGCACCCTCAGCAACCCCCAAGAAGTTGCCCTTCCCCCCTCGCTCGCCGCCGACTTCACGATGAGAAGAAGAAAAACAATGCAATAAACAATGTAAACAAACAATGTTTGACGCTCTGCGCGGATTTCTTGGATCTGCGCTGGACTCCACTCCCTGGCGCGCGGAGCGCGCCAGGGGCGGCGCCGGAGGCGCCGCCGAGGGGCCCCAGCGCGGATCCAAGGAATCCGCGCGAAGTGCCAACAGTGTATGTTTGTGTTTATAGCGTTTTCCCTTCTTCGAGCCAGGGGCACCTTCAGCAACCCCCGAGAGGTGGTCCTCCCCCCCTCCTCGCTCGCCGCCGACTCCCTTCTCGCGGCGCGCACTGCCCCCTCTGAGGCTCGAGCCTCGGAGGCGCCCTCGGCGACGCGGCGGGGCACGCCCGGGCCGCTCGCCGGATCGCGGCGGGGCACGCCGCCCGCCCGCCCGCACCGCGCCGCCGCCGCGCCGAGAGGGCAGGCTAAGACGAAGCCAGGGCGAATCTAAATGCATGCGAGGATCACGGAGAGCAGAAAATCCGCCCTCAAAACAATCACCCCCGGCAGGCGAAGTCGCTTAGTAAACGCACCCAAAGAAAGAATCGAACAGGGCAGAGCTGGTTAGGAAACGACCAGGGCCGATCAGTAAACGCTCAATTCTCGGGCCCGGGTGGATTTCCCCCCCTTGAAATAAATCGGGAATCTCTGAGATCCGGCTGCTCTGGAGGATGCCTCGGGAGCCGAGGCCGTCTCGGAGCTCTCAGAGCGGACTTCTCCTCGCCCTGGCCCCGTCCGACAAGCACCTGCCAGGCCCGAGCCGAATCGAATCGCAAAACCAGATCGGCATCGGAAACGTATCGAATCGCTGCCGAACCGTCCCGAATCCAGTCGAATTCGGATCGCCGGGCCCGGCTCTGGCTGACCTGGGCCCATGCTGGCGAGCCGAGCCGCATGGAATCGCATCGGCATTGCGGCCCCATCCCGCGCATCGAGTCGCGTCGAACAGAATCGTAGGCGGCCCTGCCTAGCGTAGGCAACCGTCGAAGGAACAGACGAACAGCCCATCGGGCACACATGTGGGCCCGAGGGTTCAGGCCCACGGGGCCGCCTCGAGGGACGAGTTGGTCTCCTTCACGAAATCCTCGTAGGCCTTCTGCGCGTCCTCCTCGTCACGCACAGTGGCAGACTCCATGCTCTTGGCATCTGCGATGATCTGCTCAATCATCTGCATCACACCGCCTCCAAAATCCGGACTGAACCGAGCATTCGGTGACAACTCATGGGAGCATCCCATACCATCTTGTCGGCTCTTGAGAATCGACGCCAATCGACGCCAAGTCAACGCAAATCGACGCTAAATCGACGCTGATCGACGCTAGATCGACGCCAGATCGACGCTCATCGACGCTGAATCGGCGCCATCACATCAACTCCCAAACGCTAGTCGACGCTAATCGACGCGAAAGACGGAATTAAGAGGGTACATTCGGCTCCTATGATTTGCTACCGATCGAGCACACGAGGGGAAGACGGAGGGAAATTATCCCGGCAAAGCAACCTAACAGCGATGTGTAAAAGCATAGCTGGAAGCATTGCCTATGGTATTCATGTAGGAGTGCTGGTGTAGATTGTATTGTTCTCGCAGTCGCATTCGGATTCGCAGTGGCAGTCGCAGTGGCAACATCAGTCCCAGTCGCAGTCGCAATGGCATTGCCAGTAGTTGCAGTAGCAATACCTACAGGAGCAGCAGCAGTAGCAGCAACAGTAGTAGTAGCAGTAAAAGTAGCAGTGACGGTAGTGGGTGCAGTGAAGTAGTACCAACTACGCACTGTCCTCAATGGGTGTAGATTCGAAGGATCATTTGCTTTCGATAATTGTATGTCGAAACGAGACCCCGGTAGCAGTGGACATAGGTCCGAACGAGAAACTGCTATCAACGGATGTAGCTCCAAACGAGACACCGTTTTCAATGGATGCACTATGGAACGACCAACTGCTTTCGGCAACTGTGTCTTTACACGAAACGCTTCTATCAATGGATTCAGGTCCAAACGAGACACTGCTATCAATGGGTGCACGTCCAAACGGGACAGTTCCATGAACGATTTTAGTCTGGAGCGAGACACTGCTATCAATACTGGAGTTGTGTGCAAACGAGACACTGCCGCTTCAGGGGCTCGCCGGCAGCCGCGGCAGCACCTTGGGCACGCTTTTCCGCACCCACTGTAACACGTTAGCCTTGAGCGCAAACAAAAATTTCGCGCAGGTACTCTCAAGAGGAATGGCAGGCTGAGAAGCACTGCAGGCCACAGAGAGTAATCTTGCACAGGCGCCCACAACAGCGGCTGCTGCGGGCTGAGAAGCACCGCAGGCGAACGCAAATCAGTGGAGGCTGGAAAACGAAATGCTCGAGGCAAACATCGCTGGCAGCCCGCGAGGCTGAGAAGCACTGCAGGCCACCGAGCAAGCAGCGAAGAAGCGGGCGGCACGCGATGTGTAGCAAGCTGAGAAGCATCGCTGACAAGACATCAGCAACTCATTTCAAGCTTTCTCCTGACGGGTGGCCGTCGAAGATTCTGCACTTCTTGGCGGAGTCGGGCGTTTTGCTCCACTCATTTATCCGCTTGTGGTCGCCAGATTGCTGGAGCTCTGTGCGCATCCCCAGTGTTCTCAATTTGTTGATGAAGTACTGCGCCTCTGTCACTGCGGCCTCGTCAATGTGAGTTAGGCTGTGCACCGTGATACCATCTTTTGAACAGCCTGCAATGGGCAACAGGCAGACTCTATGCTTCGCTCTGTTGGGCGGGTCCATTTTGAAGGAGAGCAAGTTGTCTACGGAGCAATGCCCGTGCATCGTCACAGCGTGCGAGTTCTCATCGCCAGATGCGTCCGTGACACCTGGTATATCTGGAGCGGAGATGCTGCAACCACAGTCGTATTGACAAACGTCCGCTCAGGCGCGTCATTGCCTGCACTCGCAGCCACGTGGCGCACGCGGCGTATTGCGCGGCAGTTGCTCAAAGGAGGGAAGGAGATAGCTCTCTCATCGTGGACCTTCTGGAACTCGGACATGGCATCAATACCAGACAAGGCGAAGGCCGCCGCCTGGGACACGGCAACTTTGCAGGAGCCACTGAAATCGCGGGCACTACTGGTGAAGAATACGCGCTCGCCTTTGCTCTCCACGACAGAGTCGGCGGGCTCCGGCTCCTCGAGCCTCATCCCATTCACCTGCAACAAACGTGGTAAGGTTGCGGTTGGGTCTTCCGATGCCATCGCCAGACAGGCACAGCAGGACAGGAGCGCGTCTGCGGTGAGAATTTGTGAAGCGTGGTCTGGGTCCCATGTGGTCGCATGGGCGGTAGTCAGTTGCTCCCGGTCCTTCGCGAAGTCGCCATGCGCCGCTAGCTCGTTGAGCTGGGTCAATCTTGGACAAGAGCATGCGTAATCCACCACGCGATCCTGTGACGGGTTCAGCTCCAATGTGCCCTCGAATTTGGCCGCTACGTTGAGAAACAGCCGCGGTTGTCCTTTGTGAGACCGACAAAGCTCGATGTTGTCTGTTCCCCAGACAGCAACCACAGCCTCCGCTGTCTTGGAGTTGGTCGTCTGGGTGCCCTCCACCAGGTGCACGCTTGCAACTGGAGGGTGGCCCACGGGAGTGCGTGTGTCTGAAACGGCATGAACCACAGCCATGACGTCGAAGCAGCGACGCGACTTGATGTTCATCATGTCAGCCACAGTAGTCTGCGGAGTCGGCGCCGATGCCAAGGAGGTCTCCTCCTGAGAGCTCTTGAGGACAGGAGTGCGCAGCGTCTGCTTGAGATCGACCACGACACGAACAGACGCGTGCACAAAAGCGTCCTGCTGCTGGCTGCCCAGGCCGACCTTGGATAGTTTCCACGCTGTGAGCGGGGGGGATTTCTTGCGAGCAGCTTCCACTTCTGCTGCGCTTCCTTTGAGAATCGCCTCGCAATAGTGGTCTGAGTCCGTGCCAAGCAGAATGCACGTGAAACGTATTGCGTCGATCTGATGGTTATTGCGCTTGCTCTTGTACGAGTACTTGATCTCCCTGGGCTTGCACACTCGCACTAGGAAGTCTTGAGTTTTGGCGCTGCTCTTCGTGAGACGACCCAGTGGGGACGTCGGCTGGTCTGCGGCAGAAGCCATGGTAGCCCACCTGACACAGGCTGAGTAGCACCGTGCAGGGCACAGTGACACAGGCTGAGTAGCACCGTGCGGGGCACGATGGACGCAGGGCGTGTAGCACCGTGCAGCGCAAGGTGACACTGGGTGAGCAAGACCGCGCAGGGGACGGTGGCGCGTCCGATGGCAGACGTGTATCACAAGGCGGCTTTTTGAACCAGCATGGCAATGGTCAGAAAATCTTGGGAGCTCGCATGTGACGTCGATCGGGGAAATGCCACGGCTGCCACGTTCGGAGAGCTTGCAATGCAGAGGGCCCCCACCCACAGCGGACGCCCGGTGGCGTCGAGGACAGCGCAGTAGTGCATGTGTGTATGTGCGTGCTGTTTGTGCTGCGTGGAATGCTGTGTTGTCTTGATGTGTTGTGTGGTGTGTTGTCTTGTGCTGTGTGGTGTGCTGTGTTGTTTTGCGATGTGAAGGGCGCCCCGCTCCGCTCTCTCGTGGAGCACTGGCGAAAGCAGCGGCCAGAATAGAACGTTAATCGCGCTCGTCTCTCGGTGCCCTTGCAGTCCCGTTCCGCCGGGCACGTTGAGGGGAATCTAAAGTCCCGATTCCTTTTGCCCGCTGCCTCCCCATCCCTTTCTTCGCCGCCTCCTTCGCTCACTCGTCCTCTCTGTCTCCCTTCGCGTCCTTTTCCCCCTCCCTCTCTGTCTCCCTCCCCATCCCTGTCCCCTTCCCTTTCCCTCTCCTCTTCTGTTTTCATCTGTCTCGGTGCATGCCCCTGTATCTCAAACGACTTATTGTTTTCGACAGATGTATCCTCAAACGAAACGCAGCCATCCATGGATGTAGATCAAAGGAGACACTGCCATCAATGGAAAATGTTTATGTCCGGAGGGGTAAAGCTTATCAATGGATTTAGCTTCGGACGGCTCGTTGCGTTCGGCGGCTTAATTGTAGAGGAGACATTGTCATCAATGGGTGTATACGAAAACGAGACACTGCTATCAACGGATGTAAGTTCGAATGAGACATGGGCCTCGAATTCAGCGCTGCTATCAAGATGGATATGTGCACAAACGAGACATTGTCAGGAACAGTGAATGGGTGTGAAAACGAGACACTGGAGCAAAGCCCCTGCTGGAAGCCTGGAAGCATAGCTGGAAGCAAAGCTGGAAGCATTGCTTTTCATATTGATGTAAGAGTCCTATTGTAAAATTCTGCTGGTCTGGCAGTCGCATTTGCATTCGCAATTGCAGTCGCAGTGGCAACGTCCGTCACAGTCGCAGTCGCAGCGGCACTGCTACTACTTGCCTAGCCATTCGCGCAAACAGGAGCAGCAACAGCAGCAGCATCAGTAAGAGTAACAGTCAGAGTAGTAGTTGAAGTTGTAGTGATGTTAGTAGTGGTTGCAGCGAAGTAGTAGGTGCAGCGGTTGTAGAGTACGAGCGTTGGTAATGGGACCAAGAGTAGATGAAGTAGACACACGAGTATCCAGAGTAGGACGAACTAGTCACTGCCATGAACTATCCCATCTCTGAACGAGACACTGCTATCAATTGATTTAGCTTGAAACGAGTCGTGGTTTTCGAAAGCTGTATTTCCAAAGAAGACAGTGCCATCAATGCATCAACGATTCTGTGCAATTGCAGCTTTCGAAAACTGCATGTCCAAACGAGACACTCCCATCAACGGATGCAGCCTGAAACGAGACACTGCTATCAACGGATGCAGCCTGTTTTCGATAAGGGAATCCCCAAATGAGACCTTTCTATGAATGTATTGAGGTACGAAGGAGACACTGGTATCAATGGGTGTTTGTGCAAACGAGACACCGCTATCAACGGATGCAGCCTGACATGAAACTCTTGCGTCAATGAGCAGGGGCACGGACTCGTAAGACCTGAATTCCCAGCGGGGTGGTCGGCGAAGGCATTGATGATGAGAATGTGATGATTGAGGATGATGATGGGATGATGACGGCGCTACTTCGATTTGTTTTGTCTGTCCGTCTCGGGCTTCCAATCAACTCTTGGAAGACATCTGGGAAACAGCGGGGGAACGCGCTGAAGAACGGTGCGCGAAGCGGAGAG